AGAGAATTTGTCTCTATCATGAGTCTGGAAAATAAAGCAGCCTAGCTCACTGTTGCATGAGTGCCCCAACGTTCGTTCGCCATGTAAAGAAACATAACTTGTATGACCAAGTCTTTGTTGCGTATGTGCGCCCAGTAAAGGAAGGGGAAAGTAAGGAAGAAGTCAGGTCTCAAGAAATTGAAAGAATCCTGAAAGAGTTCGTTGATGTGGCTGAAGCCCCAAGCGGTGTGGTAGAAAGACCCATCAAACACCGCATTGATATCATTCCAGTCTGTTCACCTCCTAAGGGGCCTATCTATCGTATGTCGCCCCAAGAATTGGATGAGCTGTGAACCCAACTCGATGAGTTGTTGAAAAACGGATGGATAAGACCTAGTTCTTCGCCCTATGGTGCGCCTGTGCTTTTTGTACCTAAGAAGGATGCCGTAAAGAATGTTGAACCATTACCGTGAATAGATGATTTGCTGGATCGCGTGCAAGGTTGCAAAATATTTTCGAAAATTGATTTGAAATCCGGCTACCATCAAATTGAGGTAGAACCGGAAGACCAACATAAGACTGTCTTCAGAACAAGGTATGGGAATTATGAGTTCGTATTTTTGCCCTTTGGTCTCACGAATGCCCCTGCCACTTTCCAAAGAACAATGAATAAACTATTTCGTGAATGGCTTGACAAATTTGTTGTTATCTACCTAGATGATATTTTGATTTTTAGTAAAGACGAAAAAAAGCATGTTCGGCACCTTCGACTTGTGCTAAATAAACTGCGAGAAGCAAAACTCAAGCTAAACCCAAAGAAGTGTGAATGGGCTAAGCGTCAGGTCCTATATTTGGGACATGTGATTGATGGAGATGGGGTCAAAACGGAAGATGCCAAAATAGCAACAATCAGAGATTGGTCGAACCCCCGCACCTTGACTGAGTTGCGGTCGTTCCTTGGGTTAGCCAACTATTATCGCAAGTTTGTGAGACACTTTACGATAATAGCTGCTCCCCTTCGCAGGTTGCTTAAGAAAGAGGTAATTTGGAAGTGGGATTAAGACTGCACAATGTCTTTCAAGCGTCTGAAAAAGTGTTCGATCAACTATCCGGTTTTGAAAGTGGCGGACCCTTCGTAACCTTTTGTTGTCACAACCGACGCTAGTCAATATGGCATAGGTGCTGCACTCCAACAAGATGATGGACATGGATACGGACCTGTAGAGTTTATGTCTTGCCGGGCCTAATGAGAAAGTGGCCGCCTCGACGTATGAAAGAGAGTTATATGCTCTTCGTGAGGCTCTCAATCATTGGCGACAGTATCTCTTGGGAAGACATTTTAAGGTATACTCTGACCATGAGACACTTCGCTGGCTCAAAACGCAGGCTCCAATGATACCTAAGTTAACAAGGTGGGCTGCGGAGATTGATATGTTTGACTTTGAGCTAAAGCCAGTAGAGGGTAAATATAATGTTGTTGCTGATGCATTAAGTCGTAGATCTGATTTTTTCGGTGCCATTGTAACATATCTAGATGTTAATGCTGATCTGCAAGAAAAGATTAGGAATGTGTATCCCTCTGATCCTACCTATGGAACCATGATTAAGCGAGTACAAGAAGTACCAGCAGAGTTCCCTAATCACAAGGTTACTCAGGGTCTATTATTTGAAAGGACTGATGTGAATGATAGGCTTTGCATACCGAATAATGAAGAGATTAAGAGTTTGATTTTAGGGGAATGCCATAATACCGAAGGCCATTTTGGATGGAAGAAGACCTATGGGACATTGTTGCGTTCCTACACCTGGCCTCGAATGAAAGTAGACTGTATCGCATATGTGCAAGGTTGTCAAGTGTGCCAAAGAAACAAAAGCACCACGCATCTCCCCTTGGGTTACTTAAGCCCTTGCCTATCCCTACAGGCCCTGGAGACTCTGTTTCTAGAGACTTCATGGATACTAAGGTAAAAAGCAGAAATGGGAAAACGCAAGTAATGGTTATAGTGGATAGATTTACTAAGTATGCTGTTTTTGTTGCTTTGCCTTCGAAAGGGAAGACTGAGTTGGTAATGGGTAAAAGATTTTGGACATCCCTTGACTGTTGTAAGTGGCAGAGATACCAGGTTCACAAGTGAACAGTGGCAACAACTAATGAATGTATATGGCTTTAAGTTGACTATGTCATCAGGCAGACATCCTGAGACTAATGGCCAGACTGAGCAGATGAACAAAATACTGCAACACACTTTGCGTATGTACATTTGTCCTGATCAGATTGACGGGAACATCTGCCTAAAGTTGCTAGTGCCTACAATAACTCTGTACATCTATCTACATGTAAGACTCCTATGGAGTTACATCTGGGATGGCGTCCACGCAGACCCATTGATCGACTAAACCCGGATCAAGTACATAAGTTTCCTTTAGGAACTAGTGAATTTGCAATTCAGTATCAGAAAGACATTGAGAAAGTAAAGGAAAACATATTCAAAGCACAACATCAAATGATTGAACAAGCGAATAAGCATAGACGACCGTCTCAGTTTGCTGCAGAAGACTTAGTTTGGGTAAAGTCTAAGGAGTTCGCTCCTGAAGAAAACATTTCTCAGAAGCTCCAACCCGCCTATAGAGGGCCTTGGCAAGTCTTAGATGTGATTGGAGATGTGGATGGTCCTTCGTACGTTATTGAGGTTCCTTTGCACTTACGTACCTATCTGGTGTTCCACGCATCCAAGCTCTTACCTTGTGTAACAAATGAGCTATTCCCAAGTCGCAGATCGGCCATACCTCCAAGTATGGATGGGAACTATGGCGTGGAAAGGATCATTGCAGAAAGTACTTTCACACTGGTCGTAGAGGCAGACCACAACGTCAATACAAGGTCAGATTTGAATACCAGAATCCCAGTGAAGATCGTTGGTTTACCAGAGAGGAACTACTGGATTTTGCACCTCAAATTGTGTCTGCATATGAAAGAGCGAAGAAAGGAATTCATATCATTGATAGGTAAATGATTCTCGGAGGACTTTGAAACTAAGCCGGCGAGAGTAAAAGGGCCTTTACCCGATACCCGATACAGTCCTCATAAAAGTAAAGCAGCGTGAAGGGGTATCTCGCCAGGACCCAAGACACGAGAAAGCAGATCAACGGGCAGGTTCTCTATCAAAGGACACATCTAAATCTAAGCTAGAATTCAGTGCCAAAGGTTATTGCTGAGAGACA